GAACTTTCTAGGGTATTAACTATAGTTTGGACTAGTTAAAACCTTTTATATATAAAGCCCAAATTAGTAAAGTACGTAGCCCAATCCCAAACAAGATACAAATCCCAATCCGATGTACAAATCCCAATCCGATGTACAAATCCCAATCTGATATACAAATTCCAATTCTATATACAAATCCCAAATAAGATACAAATCCCAAGTCTCCCAAACAAGATACAAAATCCCAATCCTATGTATATAGTTATTTATACTTTAGAAATTTTGCGAATAATTAAATCAAAAAAACGTGTATGTATGTACGAATTTAAGAATTCTTGTGTAATATATTAATTAAAATTTAAATATCGAAAATTTAATGCTTTCTATATATTTTGTTACACTTATACTTATTGCATTCAAATATCTTTAATTTTTTATTTAACGATTTATCTAACAACTTAAGATAGTAAGCATATATGTATATATAATTACATAAATTTTCATATTAAATTAAGATAATAATACGTATGTATATACAGTTACATAAATTTTCATATTAAATTAAGATAATAATACGTATGTATATACAGTTACATAAAATTTTTATATTAAATTAAGATAATAATACGTATGTATATATAAAGTTACTCAATTTTTTATGTTAAATTAAGATAATAATATTTATGTATATTTAATATTTAATTTTTACACGTTATTATAATATTTATCTAATTACTTAATATAAAATCAAAATACTTAATTATATACAGTAATTTTTTGTATATATAATTTGTAAGATATGTTCAAATTTCTACACTTATAAATACTGTGCTAATTCACTCTTTAAAAAAAGCTAAACAACAAATTATAAGTTGGGTTATGGAGTTTTATATTAATTTAAATAATGATATTTTTATATTTTATAAATTAACTTAATTAATTTAATTTAGAATGTCGAAAACTTCTGAATTTGAAGAAACTATCGAAGAAAATTCAAGTGCTATTTTAGACTTTAAAAAGAAAGGAGGTCGCCCTAGATTTGAACATATTTGGAAAAATTTTATTAAAATTCTGAAGCCTAATAAAAAACATCCTGGTGCTAAATGTAACTACTGTTCTAAAAAGTGGGAACGAGGTAAACCTGCACAAATGGAAATTCATCTTGCACGACTTTGTACAAAGGTTCCTTTGGATATTAGAATGAGTG